GCCCCTAAATAGATTCATCTGTTCCTCTTCTCCCACCTCCTTCATCATGACCTGTTCTGCCATTTTTGCCATCTCTTTCTTCTGTAACTTGGTAGTATTTTAAGATATTATTAATGATTTTTTTTTTTATTTTGTATTTAGCCCTTTGTTCACTGCCTCAAAGGAGGTATGTGGCAGGCATGAAGGAGTAGCCTGAAGAGCATTCACCTTTCTGGTCTACTGCCAAAGGCCTGAACCCCAGAGAGGGAGTAGGGTTTGCTGGTAAAGGCAGAGTGTATGAGAAAAACAGAAGGATGAGGAAGGCTTTTCCCTGAAGAGGAGATTCTCCTGGATCAAGAAAGGAAAGGAGAATTCTGTGTGTGCCAAGGTAGTAGGATTGAGCCCTAAATCCTGGAAGCAGGTAATAAGGGAGGTAATAAGACCCTATATATGATGACTGAGGATGTGTGAGGCTTAGCAGGATGGTCCCAAACTTAGGAAATATTCTCTGGTTCAGGTGTGGTGCGAGAGCAGGAGAGAACTAAAAGGAGCGAACAAGTTTGTAAAGCAGGGCCATCCCATGTATGGACACATTGTACACTGCTGCACACAGCCATAGTTTTGGATAACAGCATCTTCTGCAGACTATGGGCCAGAGGATGTCCTCTCTCCCCATATCAGCACCAGCCACTCATGTCCTGGCACGGCATACATTCTTGGAACTTTGACTCTACCAAAGGGAGTAGGGGAAAAACTTTAAGAAAAACTAAAACCTTGAATTTGGAATAAAATTGTATGCTGATCTTGGGCCTGTTTACCCTCAGAGTCATTTCTTGCCTTTGCCCTATTTTCCTCTCTATTGTAATTGTGCTAACCACTGCAGGCTGTGTCCCTGGCTCCCCTTGCAGCTGGCACCCAAGTTTGGGCAATGGAAGACAGTGACAGGGGATTGGAGAGCAGGAGAAGAGAAACTATGGTACATTACCCCCTCATCTCTGCCATAGATGGCTTCTTTGGCCATGGCTATGTGTCTTCTGTGGGAGCTCTGGTAGCATAGTGCCTAAGGCACTTGACTGCTATCCAGAAGGCTGGATTACCCATCAGCCACTCCTCGGAAGGAAGATGGGGCAATATACTTCTGTAGTGATACTGCCTCGGAAACCCAAGGAGAGGTCGCTATGAGTCAGGTCGGACTCGACAGCACATAACAACAGCAACATGTGTCCTCTGTGGCAGCTTTCACCAAAGACTGGCCATGATTCCTGGCCCCTGGGCTCCAGTAACCCTGCCTCTTCTTTTAATTTCTCCAGTTGAGAGCTTAGATTAATATTTTCTTCATTTCCTCACTATCCTTTCTTTAGCTTTAGAGTTCTTCTATCACCCATATTATAAATTTCCTGCATTCAATCTTCTCTGTTTGTAGATAGTTGAAGTGGTTGCTGTTTACCTGCAACAAGTTGGTCTAGAAAAGAAGCACTGTGGAATTTCTTCCACATCTGACTTTGTAGTTTCTGTTTTACATCTACTACGTTGTGATCAAGGAGCTCTGGTGGTGTGGTAGTTAAGTGCTCAGCTACTAACGAGAAGGTAAGCAATTTGAACCCCACAGTTGCTCTGTAGGACAAAGATTACACAGATCTGCTTCCAAAAAGATTACAACCTTGGAAATGCTGTGAGGTAGTTTTATTCTGTTTCATAGTAGAACTTCTAACACTATGAGTTGGAATTGACTCTAGGGCAATGGTTTTCATGTTGTAATCAAAATTCACTATTCTCTCAAGCTTTTTGTTAGATGACAATATTTACATTAAGTGTCTAATCTTTCCAGGACAACTGACATTTTAAAGTAATTTTCTGGAAAGGATACTTTGAGGCAAAGATGTAACTTACATAAGGGGTGTTTGAGATGGAGTGCCTAATCCCTCAGGTTCAGAAGGCCTTTCAGATAGCAAGGCCTATTCTATGTTTGGGTCTTAACATTTATAAGCATGTTACTTTTCTTTATAGATTGAATAGATCATTACTGAACATAGAAAAGCCCTGGAGAGGGGTTCTGTATTGTTACACTCCATTTGCATATCTCTCTCAGCCACAGCCCTTGCAATCCACAGAGATCTGAAGTAAGACAGCCAGCAGTCAGAATATTTAAGTGGCATAGACATATCCCTAATGGGACTACACATTATGCTATTATCAGTCATTAACTACCTGGTGAATTGGTTTATTAGGTGTTCTTTGTGACACTCCAGAAACTGACCTAACTTTTGATTGGGTGAGTAGTTAGGGTTAGGATGAGAGCCAGAAGCACAATTCAAGAACGAAGGCAATTTGGAGACAATGCCTTCTCAAGAAGGCTAGCCTTGAGCCTAATAAACTTCAAGGCAAGTCAGAATTTTATTGCTTTAGGGCAAAAAACATTGCCAAACTTTCAGAGCAAAGGGATCGGACAAGATATTCTGAAAATGTTTTAAAATTTCAGACAGGGCAGAATAAAACTAAGTTTCTTAATATAAAATATGCAATGTTCTAGACGTGGTTTTATAAGTCTGATAATCAGAACAATAAACTACTGTGTCAAACAGATTATATTCTGAAATAACTTTCAGTGTGTTCTCCTAAAGTAATGGTACAAAAAAAAAGACACTTGTATTTATTCAACACATATCAAGCAGTTCTATGTTTGATATTTAAATTGAGAAGTTACATACAGATCTATGCTGGAAATAAAGTAATTCATGTTTTCTTATGGATAACACTGTGAAGAAAGGGAATTTCAGAGGGACGGGAATTTGTGTCATGTGGAACCTGTACATAGACTAAGAGACAGTCATTTGAACAAAACAAGGGGATACTGCAAGGTTTAAAATTAGGAAAGGTATGTGTCAGGGCTGGATCCTCTTACCATCCTTATTCAAACTGTACACTGAGCAAATAACCTGAGAAACTGAACCATATGAAGAACATGGTATCAGGGTTGGAGGAAGACATTAACCTTCAATGTCCAGATGACACAACTTTGCTTGCTGAAAGTGAAGAGGATTTGAAGCACTTACTCATGAAGATCAAAGACTACACACGGTCTTCAGTATGGCTAACACCTCAACATAAAAAATCCTCACAACAGGACCACTGAGCAACATCACGATAAACAGAAGACATACTGAAATTGTCAATGACTTTCTTTTGCTTGGATCCACAACCAATGACCATGGAAACAGCAGTCAAGAAATTATATGATGTATTACGTTACGCAAATCTACCACAAAAGACCTCTTTAAAGTGTTAAAAAACAAAGTTGTTATCTTGAGGACAAAGGTACACCTGACCCAAGCCATGGTATTTTCAATCACCTCATATGCATGCGAAAGCTGGACAATGAGTAAGGAGGACCTCAGAACAGTTGATGCTTTTGAGTTGTGGTTTTGGCAAAGAATACTGAAAGTACCATGGACTGCCATAAGAAGGAACTAGTCTGTCCTGGAGTAAGTACAGCCAGAATACTTATTAGAAGAGAGGATGACGAGACTCCATCTCTTATACTTTGGGCATGGCATCAGGAAGGATCAGTTCCTGGAAAAGGACATCATGTTTGATAAACTAGAGGGTCAGTGAAAAACAAGAAAGACCCCAAAAAGGTGGCTGCAACAATGGGCTCAAACATAGCAGTGCTTGTGAAGATGGTGCAGGCCTAGCCAGTGTTTCATTCTATTGTACATAGAATCACTATGAATCAGCACTGAGTCAACAACACTTCCCATGTTTTCTAGAATTGTTTTTCACAGAATAGTTGTTAAAACTTGTCTTCTACCTTCCCGTATTTTAGGACACATAAGAGGTAGTATAAAATGTCCTCTTGCAGAGGAATCTCCAGGTGTCTCTTCATTGAGGTAGAGGTTTTCAGAGTTATTTGTCTTTATATTATCAGGGATGTATATTGATTCAGGAACAAGTTTGAATCAAGTCTTGTTTAAATTTGTATCAGTCCCTACCAACTTGGAATGCTTATGCATTTTATTTTCAGATAAAGCATTTTTTGTTTTTGTTTTGAAAACAACACAGCAACTCTTGGAGGAGAATTACCATTAACAACATTTATACACAATTCTGGATTTCAAGGTTTGGGTTCAGACACTTAGTAACGTTGAACAAGTTACTTGAGGCTTCTATAGCTTTAAAATGGGGATAATTGGTCACTCCCTCAAAAGTGTCAAAGGAACCCGGTTGGTGCAGTGGTTAAAACATTTGGCTGCTACAGTTCTAACCCACCTTTCTGCTGGAGAAAGATGTGATAATATGCTTCCATAAAGATTACAGCCTTGGAAACCTTATGAGCAATTCTTCCTACAGGGTTGGCGCCTTGGCTGTGAGTTGGACTGCGGCTGGACAGGTCGTGCCAACAGTGCCAGCTAAATAAATGTCAATAAATATTCTCAACGCTAAATTTTTTAACCTTTCTTTGACCGATGAGATGACACGGACGCGAAGTGAGAAAAGAAATCTTGATGAAAGAAAAGAATTTCTTATACGAATGGAGAAGTTCACGCTCTTGTAGATTCAAAAATAGCTAATTAAAATACATCTCAACTTGAAATTTAACCGCCCCCCCCCATTTACTGAATATTTAGCATTTTCTAAGATTGACCCTATAATTTGTAATTTCATGGGCTCCCAGTCTTCTGATTCTGCTCAGTGCTGAATTCTTTAAGCGGAAACTCACAAATGACAAACAGCACACAACGCAATGGAGAAAACAGTGTTCCCAGGCCTGAAGCTTGGAGTTCTTTAGTTGAAGTGCAGTTTGGACTAGGAAAGGGTGTTACGGCTCCTCCTCTCCTCTCCGCCCACACCTCCAAGTTCTTCAAGGCTTTTTGCGCCTTTCTCTCGCGCGCCCTTCCTCCGGGTGTCTGAGCTAGGCGCGGGAGGCGGGCTCAGCGCAGACAGGCTGCGCCTCTGCAGCCAGAGGGAGGAGGGCGGGAAGGAGGCGGCGGCGGAGGAGGCGGGGACTACGCCGGGCGGTAGCCGGAGCGGAGCGCGGTGGGAAAAGAGAGGTTACCCCGCTGGCTCCACTGGCGGCCTCTGCCTGGATCCCGGTGCCGCAGCCCTGCGTCTGTTCCACCCTTGTCTCAGGTTCCTTGGCCCCGGGCACAGCGGAGGAGGTGGAATTCTGGGCCACCGGTAGGTTGCAGGGGAACGGCGGATCCGTCTGCAACCTTTTGTGCTGCAGAAAAGGTGGTGGTGATGGGGTAGGGGGGTGCCCCAGTCTGTGATCCCCGGTGCCTGCCCAAATCGCGGCGCCGCCCCTTCCTCCCTTCCTCGTGTCGTGGCCCGGCGCGCGGTATCCGCGCGGTGCTGGGGAGGCTCTGGTCAGACCGGCCTCTGTGATGGGCGGCTGGGGGCCCCATCGTCTCCCGGGCTCGGTGGGGTGATTCCCTGGCTCCCAAGCAGGGACCTGGGGTCTGGTAAATTGGGTGGGGCCCGCGCGGGGTGCGGGGAGCCGCGGTTCCCTGGCACAGGGGTGGGGCTGGAGACGCCGCGAGTGTGCAGCGCGTGTAAGTGAGTGTGCGGGGGCGTGCGCCCCCGTGTGCGCGCGGCGTGCGCTCGCTGGGGAAGTGCGGAGACTCGCCGACCCCGAGCGCCTCTCTCGCCGTGCCGCGGTGCGGAAGTCGGGCGCGTTGGCGCGCTCGCTTGCTTCCTCGGCCGCCGTACCCGCACCGCGGGGCAACAGGCCTGGGGGCCCCATTGAGAAGTAGATCCTTTCGGGGCCTGCCGCACTGCTGCACGAATGCCTCTTAGGCGCGCGCAGCGTGACTGCCCTGGACAGATAGCGTCTCTGGGCGAGCCCTGGCGCCTTTATCTAGCCGGCCGTCTTCGCCCTTGCTGCAATCTAGGGGCGAGGCCCCCCGGGCGTCCGCCGCCGGCTGCGTGTCGGCCGGTACGGCGGGGCGGGCGGACCTGCGGTGAACGTGCGCGCGCGTGTGGATTCGGACCGGGTGCTGGCCAGAAGCGAAAGCGGCAGATGCCTTTGGTCACTGCCGCCTTCGGCCCACCTGTCGCGGGAGGACTTTGGGTCGGGTGGGAAACGGAATAAAAGGGTTTCGAGGCGGGAGGTAGTCAGACCTTCAGCAGTCGGCCCCATTGTGAAGCTGCCAAACTCTCTCTAGTGGTGGAATCTGCAAATCTCTGCCAGAAGAAGATGGAAACGCGAAGGAATGATGGCCCCATCCTTCTCCCCTTGCAAGTGTTCCGCATCCTTAGGGACCCTTGATTCTCCGTCCACGCCAGTTTGCACCCGGCTGGTTTTGTGATTTGTGTCGAGCTAGGATTCTCTTACGTGTATGTGTGTGATCATAGTCACAGGTAAAACGGGGCTGGGAAGTTTATAATCATTGGAGGAGGAAGAATGGAGGCAGTAGCAGTTTGTAGTGTGCCTGCTTCTGCTGGCAGAAAAAGGAGTTCTTACATAACATTTCTGACGCTACTGGACTTTATTTTACATTGTTTTTCTCAGATGAGCCACTCTACGATTTGGAGTGTTAGTTGCTTTCTTTATTTTTTCTACTCAATAGAACAGGATAGACAGTGGAAGGATAACAGTGACCTCGGTCCAAACTTTATTTTCCCAGGCGATTAATAATGAAGTATTGGGGAGCTCTGGTAGCATAGTGGCTAAGACACTTGCCTGCTAACCAGATGGCTGGTGGTTCAAACCCACCAGCCACTCCTCGGAAGGAAGGTTGGGCAATCCTACTTCCGTAGTGATACTGCCTCGGAAACCCACGAAGGGGTCGCTATGAGTCGGGTTTGACTTGACGGCACATAACAACAACAACAACAATTGGTATTTATGAATTCAAGACCACGATTTATGCTTACACAATTATGTTTAATGACTGTACCACATATTTCTCAGTGTTCTTGTTATGTAACAGTGTGCATTATAGAAGGAGCCCTGGTGGCGCCGTGGTTGAAGCACTCGCCTGCCAACCAAAAGGTCAGCTGTTCCAACACACCAGCCCTTCTACAGGAGAAAGATGTGTTAGTCTGCTTCCAGAAAGACAGCCTTAGAAACCTTATGGGGCAGTTCTACTCTGTCCTATAGGGTCGCTATTAGTCGAAAATCAATGGCTGTTGGTTTAGTATACATTATAAACTTTAAAATAAAATGGACAGGATGAAATACAAGTTAATGAGCTCAGAGAGCACTTCATTTGTTAACAGTGTGTAGAATGTGATTCTGCCAACATTTAACTGTAATTTCAAATGCTACTTTCTGGTGATAAATGTTCCAAGATACAAGTTATGAGGTATTTATTGATCTTTAGTAATGGTCAGTGAATTTATTTTCTTAGTGTTTTTATTTCTGTATATTTTGGACAAATGTTTATTTGTGTAACTTGTATATATTTGTATTTCTGTAGATTTTGTCCACTTTGACTCATAAAATTATTTAGTGTGTTGGAAATAATAAAACTTCATATAAAGGATGTAAAATTTCTCTTCTGAAATTTCTCCTCTGGGGAGCAGACAAAAAGTATTTAGTTCTAGCCAGAACTCTGGATTTGTGCTCAGCCTATCAAAATGAGTTTGGTTTTATACTTTGATTTGGAAAGTTAGCCAATTCCACATACGTACACCAGTCTTATTTGGGTTATGCTTCTTTAGAGGCAAATTTCTTGTAAAGACTGCATGTAGACCTATTCCAGTTATTGCCAATCATTCATACTCAGTGAAACAATTTTTTTCCTAAAAGTAGAAGGATGACTACACATAATGATAAGAAGACATGGATAACCTAGTTTTAATTTTTACTAGCAGTTATGGGAGGATAATGAATACTGTACTTTGAGGAGGTTGCTTTGTATTAAAAGAACTGTTAGTAGAAAAGGAAAGTTTTTGTCTTACTGCACTCAATATGGGTTGGTGAGGTTAATGATTTGTTTGTTAAGGTCAAGAACAGTTTCAGAAAAGTCACACCCTGATCAGCAGCTTTTCTTAAAAACTAGGGATGATTTTTGTTACAAATGATCAAGTAAGGTTATTAGTGCTTTGTTTTCTGTGTGTGTTGTACTTTGGCAGTTTACACTATTTTATTTCTACTCAGTGTTATGTTTGATAGATGCTTTGAACTGTCTCTCTTTTACTTGGTTTTAGAATAATCTTTGAGATTAGTTGTTACAAAATATTTTCATTAGTCTGTATGAAATGTTTAAGAATTGCTTTTTTCTCCCCCAAGTGGTTTTTCATCGTTGGTCTCTCTTCAGATGGCCACTTTGAGAAATACTACTAATTTTCTTTTTTTTTCCCCCCTTCATGTTTTAGGAGCTAGGTTAGAACTCATGACTTTTACTCCGCCCATTTTTGCCTAAAACGTCTCTTGCTTTTCATAATAAAATTCTTAAGGATTTATTTACCAAAATTTGGAAAGCCTAGGTGCTGGCTTTCATATTTATTTGCATATTTATTAATCTGCATTATGATTTGTGATAGCTTTTGTTTAATGGATCTATGCTGAAACTTTGGCTTTTTATTTTTTGGTGTAGAAGTTTTTGTGTGGACCTGAACATCTACATTTATTCATAAACATTCTAGAACTCTCTGTACTTTGGGAATAACCACTCTCTAGGTTCCCAGCAGTGCCTTTTGGGCCTGTGTATTAGATTTACTGATTTCCTGGTCTGCCTGTCTTCTTTCCTGGCCTGCTCTTAGCTCTTTCTCTTTGTATTTGCCCCAGTGCCTATACAGGGCTGGCAGATGATGGGACTCAAGAAATAGTGTTGAATGACTGACTGAATGAGTAAATGAATAATGGGATGGCTGAGTGGATACACATAAAGAAATACTCTTTAGTTGTGTTTGGGAAGCTGTTATGCAAGTAGACTACCCCCCCCCAACAAGCTTTCCGTTGTTAAGTATTTTATATAATATGTATTTTTATGTAATATAGTATTTTATGTGTAGTATTTTTGCAGTTGCCAACCAGGACAGGTTTGAGAGATAATGCGGGTGTTGTAAATAATTATCCCAGAGCACAAGCTCTGAACTAAGAGTTATAGGCAGCCTACTTTTGAAGTGCATTTTTATTCACCTGTGATGAGATCTGCCGCCTTACCTGAGAAATTTGACACACTTGCTAGTTAATTTTTGCAAACTTTTCTATTTGCAGAAGCTTCATTTGTAGTCAAATACTGGGTGTCTTTTGCTTAGTCACCCACAGCTTTGTTCCCCAGAGGCCTCTTGGCAGCTCGTGGCCATGCTCACTTTTTCCCATCTTTATTGCTTACTGGATAATGTCATAGGGTTTTCTATTTTTGTGAGTGGAAGAATACACCACTATGTATAGCTGGAAGCATTATATCCAATAGCCTTTGCTCTGTTTTTACTTCAGTCTGTTTCTATGCAGCATTTAGTCTATCTTGTAAGAATTTCACGTGGGTTTTTTTCCCTTTTTGAGAGGAGATCCATTTATGTCTTATCTTTCCAAGCCTTCATGTTCAATGCATTGGCCAGATCAGTTGTAAGTGTTTGAGATATATAGGTTTTTAAAGTATTCTAGAAGTGTTTGTTGTTTTTTGGAAGGTATATATTTATGGGACTTTAATATTGCAGTCTTTTAATTGTTCTTAATGGGGCTTGGAGGGTAAAACCGTTATTGTAATTTTGTAGTAGATTTCTTTATAAGCAGTTTCTTAAAGTATATTCTTATATTAGTTTCTGGTCTTTATTTTTTTTCTTTTTCCTCATCATCATCCTCTTTTTGGCAGCTGTGTGCTTATAGCACTAAAATATATAGAAAAAAGTAAGGAGAGTCAGAAATGAGTAAAAAAATGACATACTGGGATGGAGCTGCTGCACCTTGGTTTCACCTTGTGTGGCTCTCTTGGACTCTGTGTTTGTATGCTATTTTTGGCTTGGCGCTGGCATAATAGGGATAATCAGTTACAACACTTTGTTTACTATGAAATTACCAGCCATTTCCTAGACTTCCACATTAGCTCCAGTACAAGAGTTGGATAAGACTTCTTTGCTGCTTTCACATCCAGACTGAAGTTTTAGGTTGATTTCTTTCTTGATGTAGAAAAAAATGTTCGAAAGTTTAAATATTTTTCCAGTGCATTTAAAAGCTTGAAAGAAGGATGTATTGCCCAATACATGGTACAAATTATGTGAATATTTGAATTGGATTTTAGACTGTTTTAAAACCTTTATTTAGAATTAAAAGAGATTCAGGTTTTTCTGTTATCTCAGCTTCTCGATTTTCAGTGAAAATTTCAAAAAGTCCGAATGAAGTAGATCTCACTTTGTGATAGATGTAGTTCTGAAACATTACCAAAAAGAAAAACAAAAACAAATTCACTGCCATCAATTCATTTCCGACTCAGAATCACCCCCATTTTGGGTTTTGGAGGGTGTAGATCTTTACAGAAGTAGATTGGCCCGTCTTCCTTCAGCAGAGCGGCTGGTGGGTTTGAACTGTTGACCTTCCAGTTAGCAGTCAGGTGCCTTATCACTACACTACCAGAGCTCCTTCTGAAACATTAAGTAGAAATATGTATCTGTATTTGGCATCTAGCCATGTAACTAACGAGTATTGGTAGATATATTTTATCCTGTTTTATAGCTTACAATTTTAAAAATAAAAATACTTAGAAGAAAGAAACCATGATTTAGAAAGATTTTGTATAAAAGTTTCTCCACTATGTGCCTTAGGATCTTGACATTTTTCAAGTAGGAAATAACCTTAGAGCTAGAAGTTAAAACTAAGTCCCCCTACCATTTGGCACATGAGGTAATGAAGGCTTTTAAATAAAGTCCATCCCCACCCATTCAAGATAGGATTCCATTTGCAGAACTTGATTGATAACATTTCTGTGGAGCGTAATTATTTTGTTAAAAGATCTAAAACAGGGCAGAACTTGATTGATAACATTTCTGTGGAGCATAATTATTTTGTTAAAAGATCTAAAACAGGGCTTATCATTGAATAGAGTCCACACCATGTAGACTCCAACTCACTGCTGTGGAGTCGGATCCAACTCATAGTGACCCCTCCTTGGGTTTCCGAGGTGATACCACTGCGGAGGTAGATTGCCCAACCTTTCTTCAGAGGAGTAGCTGGTGGTTTGAACCGCCAGCCTTCTGTTAGCAGTCATATGCCTTAGTTACTATGTCACCAGAGCTCTTACACCGCATATAAAGGAAAGTTAATGGGTGTTGCAATCAGACAGATTGGGGTTCAGATTACTTAGTCAGATACCTTAAAATTGACATATACATATAATTTCTCATGGTGTGGTTAAGATTAAGTTATACAAATTCTGTATAGTTCTTATCATATAGTAGGTGCTCACTCATACTGATTTCTTTTTTTACCATTCTCCCTACTAAAAAATTGACTCAGTTATTTTTGGATACTTACATGAAATAAAAAGTTATATTGCTAATAGAGTACTATATAACACATTTTGTTTTACTCTTATGTTAAAACCAGGGGCTTTTATGGGTGGAATTAGAACCAAGTTTTAATTAAAATTTCAGTTTCTTAATTAACAATTTGAAAATAGTTTGTGGCAAAAGAAATGAAAAGGGATCATGTCTTGTTAAGTAAATCTGAAGTAGTTCTAAAGGTTGATAGCATGTTAGTTTCTCGCTGTGACAGTTCTTGGTGCATTAGCTCTTGAAGGTTGCTCAAGGAGCTGAGGAAACAAATAACTATAATTCAATAATTATCCATTTCTTTGGATAAAACTCTTCTATGAAGGAGTTCTGGTAGCATAGTGCCTAAAGCACTTGGCTGCTAGCCAGAAGGCTGGCGGTTCAAACCCACCAGCCACTCCTCGGAAGGAAGGTTGGGCATTCCTACTTCCGTAGTGATACTGCCTTGGAAACCCAAGGAAGGGTTGCTATGAGTTGGGGCCGACTAGATGGCAAATAACAACAACACAACATGCTGGCATAGTGCCTCAGGCATTTGACTGCTAACCAGAAGGTTGGTGGTTCAAACCTGCCAGCCACTCTGTGGAAGGAAGACTGGGCAATGTACTTCCATAAAGATTACTGCCTCAGAACCCAGAGAGGGTCGCTATGAGTCGGAATTGACTCAATGGCAGTGAGTTTGGTTTTTGAGTTTTATACTGGCAAGGAATGTAAATCCAATGACTTAACTCCTTGCCTTTTCCCCTGCTGTTTGTTTTCTATTTGAGAACATGTTTTACTGTTGGCTATTTTTTTTTCAGACTCTTAGCACCTGTTTAGCTAAAATGAACCCACTCAACTCCTTTGAGCCCTTAACACAACAACAGCAGATACCCAACAACCAATGAAGTAGTTTACTGGTGGAAAAGGACTTTGGGGAGTTTTCTTGGTCTCAACAAATTAACTCAATTAACTAGGGAGGTGGAAGATAAAGATAGATTCTCTTACAGGTTAACTTCCCTGATGAGAGGGAGAAGGCACAGGTGAGATGCTGGAAACCTTAAGCAACTTGATAACTATAAAGTAGTGTTTTTGTTGTTTGTTTGTTTTAATTTTTTCTTGGTAGTTCTCTCCCTCTCACTAATGTTTTTCATGATTCTTCCAGTCATTTTAAAGAACTCTGATGGCCTAATGGTTAAAGCATTAAGGCACTAATCAGAAAGTTGGTGGTTCAAACCCACCGGCTGTGTTGTGAGAGAAAGATGAGGCAGTCTACTTTAGTAAAGATATACAATCTTGGAAAATCCAGGGCAGTTCTACTCTGTCCTATGGGATCACTGTGAGTTGGAATTCACTTGATGGCAGTGGGTGTTTTGGTTTTCCAGTCATTCGCTCACAACAGACTTATGAAGGATTTTTATTGTTGATATGGTGAAAGTGAGTAGACATCAAAAAATTAATTATGAAATAAGACATAGCTCTTACAGGCTTTGCAGCATATAAAGCTCTTTCACCTTCCTCATCTCATTTGATCCACATAATAAATGTATGAGAGAGGAAGGCAGTATTATCTTCATTTTAATGATTGTTATTTATGTAGGATCAAGAGTCAGAGTTTTGGCAAGTCCTGGGTTAGGGTCGACCTATTCCTTTGACCCCACTCTCAGCTTTGCTTTTTCCATAGGATACTGTGAAACTACTGAACACATGCATAGGACTAGAGGAGAGGACGTTTCAACCTTGAATTTTTATTGTCTCTTTAGTCGAGGGTTTATGCAGCAGCATACAGATGAACTAGCATGCTAAAATGTTTGAGGTTACCTTTAGCTGAACAATCTGAAAATTACTTTAATTGAATTATTTAGTTACTATATCCTAGATACCTATTAGTATCTCCTGTAGTTTCATCCTGTTTTGCAGTTAGAATTGATGTAATTGTGTGATAAGTTGTGTTATTTGTCAAATTAAAGGTTTATTTTTGTACTTCATGTTTAGTATCTGGAGTAGAACAGAAAATCTATTATGCCTGTGTTCCCTTGGGATTCACTGGAAATTGTACACTGACGTCTTCTGGGATTTAGTCTGGTGAGTTGTATTTTGCTTTTTCTATTTGTTAACTGTTAACCAGTTGTCTGAATATAATACCATCATACATGGATAAAAACAAAGTAAAATGTCAGAGCATTATTATAGATATGTGTGCTACAATTACAGAATTTTTAATAGTGAGACTGAAACATATTATTGTGAAACGCTATTATTTTATTTCAGATGTTTGGCTTTTTGATTGCCTAGGTTTTCTCTTTTTATTCCTGTAAGATAAAAGTAATATTGTAGAATATTTCAGAGGTAGTAGTGAGAGATACCAAACCAAACAACTCACTGCCATCAAGTCAATTCTGACCTCAGAGCGACCCCCTTTGGGTTTCTGAACAGTAAATCTTTACGGAAGTAGATGACCCAGTCTTTCTCCATGGAGTGGCTTGTGGGTTTAAACTGCCAACCTTCTAGTTAGCAATCAAATGCTTTAGGCACTATGCTACCACAGCTCCTCAGTAGTGAGAGATAGTTGCTCTAATTTTGATAAAATTTTAGTAAATAATTTCTAAAGATTGGAGAAATAACTTGCAAAATGTACTTTATATTGCCGTACACAACGAATGGCAAACGTGAGTAAAAGGAGCATGATTTTCACTTAGTTGTGTAGCAGTTCACTCCAAGTGTGACATTCCTTTTATCACACCATGAATTTAAACTGTTAAAATTAGTCGATGTTGTTGCTGTACTTCCCTAGTCTTCTTTCAGCCCGTGGTCTGTGTGTCTGTCTGACACGGTTTTTGAGGCCTTTAAAGGGGGAGAAAAAATTAATCCTCATCTCTTGGCTCTTTAGAGTTTTTAAAATTGCAGTATTATGAATTCGTGCTCTGATACGTCATTCCACTTGGCCATTGTCTTTGTAGATTCTTGCTTTGAACTGCTTGCTAAGTGCTGTCGCGTCAATTCTGACTCAGCGACTGTGTGTACAATGGAATGAAACACTGCCCAGACCTGTGCCATCCTCACCATTATTGTCAAGCTTGACTCCATCGTTGTAGCCACTGTATCAGTCTTTCTCGTTGAACTACTTGTTGCTAGGTGCCGTTGAGTTGATTCTGACTCATAATCACCCTGTGTAGAACAAAAGGAAATAACGCTCAGTCCTGTGCCAACCTCAGAACCTTTGCTGTGCTTGAACCCATTGTTGCGGCCAGTGTGTCAGTCCATCTTGTTGAGAGTCTTCCTCTTTTTCACTAACCCTCTACTTTACCAACCATAATATCCTTCTATAGGGAGTAGTCCCTCCTGACAACATGAGAAGTCTGGCCATTCTCACTTCTAAGGAGCATTCCAGCTGTACTTCTTTCAAGACACATTTGTTCATTCTGGCAGTCCGTGGTATTTTCAGTCTCCTTTGCCAACATTATAATTCACATACCTCAGTTGAACTAATCAGAGAGGCCATAATCCTTGGAAAAAGTAGTTTCATAAAAATAGATTTAAATCAGCAGACAGCAGCAGAATAATTCAAAAGAGTGATGGAAAAAGAAAGCCCTTTGGTTTTTGTTAAGTAGATACAGCCTATCAGATTTGTGAAAATGCATTTTACCAATTGGAAAATGGAAACTAAAATTTATAGTTGTGGGGAAAAGAGAAAGGCATTCGAAAGCCATAAGTACAATGTGTTGTTAGAGGATATTTCCTAAGAAATAGTGTGCCTGGTCGGTAACTGTTTGAGCAATAGTGCTTCTGTAACAGAAACACTACAAGTGGATGACTTTAATAAACAAATTTATTCTCTCACAGTTCAGGAGGTTCAAGTCCAAACTCAGGGTGCCAGCTCCTCTGGGAAGACTTTCTCTATCACCTCTAGGGGAAGGTCCTTGTTTCCTTTCAATACTTGAGGACCTGGAGTTCTTGGAGATCTCCATGTGTCTTGGCATCAGTCTTCCTCTTGATCTAGGAGGTTCTCAGTGCAGGGATCCCAGGTCCAAAGCACACGTTCCACTCTCAGCTTGTCTTTCTTGGTGATACTGAGGACCCTCCATTTGTGCTCACAGGTCAGAGGGGAGGGGGAAAGGGAAAGCTTTTGTTTGTACGGCATTGTGTTTATGCTGATGGTGGTGGAAATACTTTGGAAAAAGATAGCAGTAATGATGTCACAGAATGAAAAATGTCATCAATATCTCTGAGCTGTAAATGGGGAAGTTACGTTGGCGGATGTCTTGTTGTATATGTTTGTACCATAATAAAAGTTAAAAAAAAAATTGAATCCTGGGTTATTAACATTATAGAGGCTGAAATTTACAGCACATAGGGTAATTATTACCAGATTACAAAATGGAGGATAATTACATAATTCTGAGAATCCTGGCCTAGCCAAGTTGACACATAGTTTTGGGGAACATGATTCGATCCATAGAAGTAATGCATGCAGTTGAAATAACGCACAGAATAGGAACAGTGAGTAGAAGCTACAGGAATGTATGCATATGTATGTCCAGAGACATCTCAGAAGAAGGGCCTGGCTGTCTGCTTCAAAACGGTCACACAGCCAGGAAGATCCTGTGGAGTGTACAGTTCTACTCTCATGCACGTTGTTTTACCATGAATGTGAACTGAATCAGTGACAGTGGGTTTTTGTTTTTTCTTTTCTCTTTTTTTGTATATCTATATATGATAATATAGGTGTGGTCTTGGCACAGTTGCCAGCCGCTCCATATGAGAAAGTTGAGGTAGTCTTCTGTAACAATTTAAAGTCTTGGAAACTCTATGGGGGCAGTTCTACTTTGTCCTAATAGGGTTGCTATGAGTCAGAAATGACTCGATGGCAGTGAGTTTGGTTTTGGGGATATATGAAATACGTGTGTGTGTGTGTGTGTGTGTTTTAAAGGACATTCTAGCAGAGTGCTTTTCAAAAGTGAAATAAATGACCAGTTTGGGAGGTAGTGAATTCGTGTTACTGAGAATGTTCAAATATAGAGTGGATAACCATCATTAAGATTCTTTCTGATTCTGAGGTTATACAGTTTGAATATCTTAAAATCTGGATCATTTAAAAGTTAGAAGTATGTACCAAAGATTTTTTTAATCAGATTTACTGAAGCATAATCTATATACAGTAAATTAGCCTTTTTAATGTATATAGTTTGATGAGCTTTGGCAAATGCATCTAACTGTGTAATGGCTACCACAGTCAATAGAGTTTTTTCTTCACCTCAACAAGCTCCTCATGCCCTTTTGTAGTCTGTCACTCCCCACCACCCCAGCCCTTGACAATCAATCATTGATCTGATTCTATCCCAACAGTTTTACCTTTTCCAGAATGTCATGTAAATGGAATCATACAGTGTGTAGCCTTTTGTGCCTGGTTTCTTCCCCCGGGTATCATCCTAATTTGTGCCTTTCAGTGTGGTATTCCTTTGGACCATAGTTTGTTTATTCTCCTTTTGATGGACATTTGGATTGTTTCCAGTTTTTTATGATGATTAATGAAACTGCTGTAAACTTTGACATTCAAGTTTTTGGTGGACATGTATTTTCTTTATTTCTTTTGGGTAAATATCTAGAAGTGTGGATATTGGGTTGTTTGATATGTATTTGCATTTATTAGAAACTCCCAAAATGTTTTCCAGAGTGGCTGTATCCATCAGTGACTTCTAAGTAGCTAAAATAAGTACAGTAAGTCCATGGGTTACAAATATCCCAGCAACTGGTAAATGCCCTTTAGTGTTAACATAAATTTGCCCTTAATTTGAAATGATTGAACCAACTTTTCCTCCCAAGAAATTCTTCATCACAATCACCTTTCCTTGCTGCACATGCAGGTTTTAAATCAGTGAAAAGACTTTGAGCCTGTTCTTGAACTAAATCAAAACCAAACCCACCGCCATGAGGTTTATTCCTACTCTAGTGACCCTGTAGGATAGGGTGAACTGCCTCATAGGGTTTTCAAGGCTGTAAATCTTTACAGACACATACTTTCTCATCTTTCTCTCATGGAGTGGCTGGTGGGTTCAAACTGCCGACCTTTTGGTTGACAGTCAAATGCTTTAACCACTGCACCACCGGAGCTTCTTTTCTTGCACTAAAATAAGGCTAAATAAAAACCATACACACCTATTTAAACTTACCTACAAATTCAACTTAAAATACACTTAGGCAAAGTTCTTATTTGTAACCTAGGGATTGCCTGTGTGTATCAAAGTGTATGTAGAGGAAGGAACCTCCATCCTCATTCAGCACAGATTTACATTTTCTCTCCAATTTTAACAAGTGTGATTAGTGGGTATTTCCATCTCAGAATGGATTGTTGTTGTTATGTGCCATCGAGTTGGACCCAACTCATAGCGACCCCTCCTTGGGTTTCTGAGGCAGTATCACTACAGAAGCAGATTGCCTACCTTCCTTCCAAGGAGTAGCTGGTGGGTTTGAACTGCCAGCCTTCTGGTTAGCAGTCAAGTGCCTTAGGCACTATGCTACCAGAGCTCCTCAGAATGGATTAGAAGTAGTAAATTAGAAGGCCTCAGGGGTAGGCTGTTAGCAGTACAGGAAGCAGCCCAAAATGATATCCACCTCATGACTATAATTACTGACTAAAAAAGGACAGGGAGTTTACAGGAGTGAAATTTTTCTATTTGATAAATTTAATCTGGCTAGTTCCCAAACTTGTTTGTATATTAGAATCAAGTAGGGATCTTTTAAATTTCGAAAATCCCAGAAACACCCCAGACGAGTTAAATTGTAAACGTAGGATGGAACACAGAGACCGGTATTTTTTGATACTGGTGACTCCAGTGTGCAGATACATTTGGTAACCAACTGCTTGAAGAACACACAGCCTGATGAGATGGAAGGAGCCTGGAACTTGGGGCCAGATGAGCTGGTTTGTTGTCATGGCCACTGACTACCTGCTTTGGGCAAGTCCCTGCCTTTGTGGCTTCAGTGTTCTCTTTTCTGTAATCATAGTGTCATGGTAGGTAATCTCTGCAGTGATCTTGACTTTTAAAACTAGATGGTTCTTCAAATCATTAGACTGTTAATAGTTG